AAAAGAGCCCGGATTTGGGCTCCTCTCGGAGAGCCCGGAAAAACCCCACCGCCAAAATTTTATTTATTTATTGTTTTTAATGTTTTGCAAGGAAGTTGAGCAGTAGCGAACTTCAGCAATCAAACAGCATCATACATATGAGTCCAGATAGTCGTGACCTCGAACCAACAGCAGAATTGCATCACGAGATTCACCAAATAAGAACACACCAAGAGCTCATAATTGACAATGCTGAAATAGTCCCATCATCATCAACGAAGAACCAGAGTTGATATCCTATCTGGCGCTCGGCGCCCAGACTACATGTGGCAGATCCTATCTAGCCTACACTACGATGCCGAAAGATGACGTCAACAGCATTCCCGAAGTACGAGCATATGGCGGCCAATGTCGCACGCTTCCAGCACCATGTATGTCTCTCGCCACACTCACAACCTCGTTCCCCAACAGCCTGCGTCCAGTCCCAGGAAGCTTCCAGTAGGCCCCGGTAGTCTGAGGCCCAGCACGACGAGAACAGGCCTTGGGCCTGAGGTGGTTGCATGTGCTTAGCTGCCTTTGGCCTGTGTTTGGCCCGGTACCCGTATCCAGCCCAGGGCCTGCTTCACATACATTCACACAGGTGGCCCAGGGCCTGGGTTCACTCAACCAACTGGCGCTGCGCAACTGCCTGAATTTCCCTGAGTTGCGTGGTGGCCAGAAAAGGGCCCTGAGGGCCTTGTCGAGCCTGCCTTCACTTAGGGCGGCCGACGGGCTGCAAAAATGGGGTCTTATGGGGATCATAGAGGCAGTGAACTCGCAGTTTTTTCCCCATGCCCGGGTATCCCGGGCGTCACGCCCGGGTGACCGGCCGGTCCAGACCGGCCGGCCGGTCATGAAAGTCTTTCCAGTATACTATCCTTTTTTTTTCGGTTTTTTTTACAACATCTTTTCCAATCGTGCGAGCTGCGGAAGTACTGCTGCGATCTTGTCGGTCAGGCGTCGAGTGAAGCTGGAGTGAGGAAGCAAGTAGCTGTCGTCAAGGGGCGCTGTGAGTGAGAGAAAGAGTGCAATCTTTTTTTTTTTTTTTTTTTTTTTTTTGCTGTTGCTGGTGGACTCGTGTGAACACTTTGATTTCCAAACAATTTCCAGGGTTCCCATATCTCATGTTTGATTCCCAACTGTAGTGTGATGGAGTGTCCTCCCTTGTTCTGAGATGGTTGCTCGGAGTTTTGTTTTTTTTTTTCGTTCGTTTTTTTTTTTTTTTTTCCAAGTTTTGTACTCCTTCACATGGTTTGCATTCCGATGGACTTACCTGGCTGCCGGCCTTTTTTTTTCGAGCGTCGTTTGCATCTGTACCTTTTGACACAACATGCCGCAGCAGGATCACCCCAAACACGCACATAGAGTAAAGGTGATTGAGGGACTCGGTGTTTCCTTTGTCTTCCCATCTTTTCCTTTCTTTGTTTCCCATTTTTGCTTCTTACAAATGGCGGCGGCCTTGAGATATCATCATCGGATTGATTGGCCCTACTAGGTAATTCAGAAGTATAGTATGTGACTCACATACTAGAATTCCAGTGGAGTTCAAACTCCGGTCGTCGGTCAGTATTTCAACAGTTCAGGGGTGTACAGAATGAGATGAGTGACCGCACTCACTTCCCCACTATCGATTGCAGATCTGATGGCCCTGCTGGCGGGACTCCGCCCTGTTATTCTACTGGACTATGTTTTTGCCTCAAGTCCAGAGATCGCTAGCCTGCTTCAACGGCTAGCGGAGGTGAGTCTGAGTGCATATCTTCTTTCTGCACTTTCCGTTCCCTTCACGGCTTCTGTCCTCGATATCATCTGATATTGATCATTGTCGTTTTCTTTCTTTCTTTCTTTCTTTCTTTCTTTCTTTCTTCTTTTCTTTTCTTCTTCTTCTTCTTCTTCTTCTTCTTCTTCTTCTTCTTCTTCTTCTTCTTCTTTTACGATGATGGTCGGTCTGAGCCCCAGGGGCCATGCTAATCTTCTCTGTGTCGTTCCAATTTCAACGGACAACTCTTCTTTCTTTCTTTCTTTCTTTCTTTCTGTCTTTTCTTTTTCTTTTTTATGGGATATCGGTATTATTGGTCATATTTCTTCGTTTGAGCTTTGCATTTGAATGTTGAATACTTAGAAGAAGAGACTGCTACCATCTTCACCCGAACAGAAAGAGACTGCTACCATCTTCACCCGAACAGAATGCCCGGTCTTTATAGCTGCATTTGGCACAACTTTCAGTCCAGATGCAGCGAGAATTACCGGGCGTTTTATTCGGGGGAAGACGGTAGTCTCATTCTTTACTTGGGGCCTGGCTCCACTACACAACATTCTAAATGTATCTGGACATCTTTTTGGTCCCAATAGCTACAAAAAGTTCGATCAGTCAGAATGTAGCTGGCACTGATCGTTGTTGAAATACAAGACTTACGCAACATCATCCTCCCTCTTTCTTTTTCTTCCACTTAGGTTTACATCCCCTCTAAGTACGTGAAAATGA